TTGGCCCCCTGGCTATCTATACCCCAGCGCTCCTCGGCTGGCGGAGGAAAGCCCCGAAAGGCCTGCCACGGGGCGAGGAGTGGGCAGCATCCTTCAGTCCACCCCCCCAACCCTCCTGCTCCACCGAAACATGGCCCCGGCTCTTCCTAGGCACCAGCAAAGGGGCTGGGGGCCGCCGGAGAGGCTCGGCCGCGGCGCTTCGCTGCTTGTGCCCTTCCCAATCCCTTTTCACATCGGGGAATAACCCGGGTGGCGGGAAACGGGGCGTCCTGCAGCGACTGCAATGCTCCCACGCTATTTCGCACCCTCCGGCTGCACCCGTAGCTTTAAAGCATCGGAAAGTACAGTTTTCCAATCCTTGAGTGAGCACACCCTTGCACATGGTGAGGGCAAGCCACAAGTATATCTCCCCCCCCGCCCCTCCTTCATTAACAGCGGGAGCTTCATTAGCGGTGAAGCCTCCGCTGAGGTTTTTGAGAGCCCTTCCAGAGGCAGGAGAGAGGCCGGAGGTCGCAGAGCTCCGCTGCAGAGGTCAAAGTGACAAAGTTTAATCAGGATAAATTAGAGGACGTTGGGTACCGCGTGGAAAACCCGATTTTCAGCAATTTGTGCATTTTTCTGCCTTTGCTGTGGCTGGAGGGGGATGCAGCAGAGAAGGAGAAACCTCTTAACCCCGTTGCTCACGCACGGGGGACATAAAGCAGGTCAGGCTGGCAAAGGCGCGCTCCCTCCTCCTGCCTGGGTGCGCTAATGCTCCTCAAATGGGCCTGTCTCCGCGGCGTTCAGCAGACAGCCAGCCTGTCACCAGCGTTTGACCCAGTCGCCGTGAGCGGGTGGCTGATGGCGGGTTAATGGCTGGAGGCTGATGGGGAGGGGGGGGATCCTCCACCTCCGGGCTGAGCACAGCCCCTTCTTTCTCCGCATCTCGGCTAAAGATGCTCCTCTGCTTCCATGACATGATGGAAAATGGCTTCGCTGCTCATTTAAAGAAGGAAGAGCAGCCAACGTCGAGGTTTGCTGGGGCGCTGCCTTTGCCGCTTGCCCGCCCAAATCCACCCCGCTGGGATGCGGCCGCCGCCTGGGGCGGTCACCGAGCGGCAAGGGCTGGGTGGGCCTTCCTACGCGCGCCTGGAGGAGGGCGTTCGGGGACATTGCTCAGGCCTTCCATCAAAGGCCGTTCCCCCGCTCCCCAAGAGAAGACGGGCTCGGTGCCGGGAAATAAATTTGCTGGTGGCATCTGCCCATTCTGTGTGGGAGCCTAATGGGAATTGCTGTGGGTCCTGGCAGAAAACCCCGCGGGAAGTCCTGGCTACGAGTCGCTCACCGCCGAGCCCGTCTTTCTGGGGTGCAGAGGGGGTCTCTGCTGCCCACAGAGGTTTCAGTGCCCGGCTGGTTTGCAAGGGGAGCGGTCAGGAGGACTCACACCCAGCTGGGGCAACATGGTCCCTCCCTGAGCAACGAGAGGTGGGCGCAGAGGCAATTCAGAATCACAGAATTATTAAGGTTGGAAAAGACCCTCAAGATCATCAAGTCCAACCATTAACCCAGCACTGCCAAGGCCACCACTAA